TCATCCTGGTTAGCGGCTTGCTAAAAACTAGTCATATTGGGAACTTGAGTAGCTCACTCATTTCCTAGCTGTCATCTGATGAAGGACCCATCTTGTTTAAGTAGGGCCCAATACTTACGTATTTCTCGATTTTGATTTGGCATAGGAGAAGAATGACTTTGGGTTTCTTTCGATTTCATTAAGGCTTTTATTTCTCTTCCCGCGATTCCTGACTCCTAAAGATTCTTTAGCTTTAAGTTCGATGCTTGCTATTTCTCTGGACCAGTGTCTCCCTGCAGCATTTCTGATATTATTGACCTCTTTTAGCCGCTTCTGTTATTCTTTTCCGTCGCCTTAAAGGTAGCGCCTTGTCTCTTTCTATTTTACAGTCTACTCCTCCTTTTTCTTAGAGGAATAAGCCTTTTGCATACATCGATGCACCGTGAGTTAATCTGTTCTAGGCATAAGTTTTGGGTCTGTGTTGCTAGTAATCATTCCCAGCTTATATCGGTTAGGACTGGTTTACTTGTCCCACTTTATGTTTTTTAGTTATTGAAGTTGAATTTGAGTGAATGCTCCCTCGTGACTAGTCTCATTTTTTGTCGGTCTGGGGCTCCACCATACATGTTCTGAGAACCTCAATTATGTTGTGATCTGAGTATATTGTTTTGAAATGGGAATTTTCTTATCAGATCATCATTGTTAGTGAAGATGATGTCTAGGTATTCTCCCAGTCTATAGGCTCTATTATTTGCTGGTTAAAATAGAATTTTTGTGCAGAGATTTAAAAGCTCGTGTGAGTGTGAGTTTTCAATCATGCTGCATCCTGTGTTTATTACAGCACAATATTAATTGCTATAATCCTCCAATTTAGGTCCATAAGTTGAAATCCCCCAGGAGCAATATGTGGGTTGCAGGACTGGGAAGATTTCCAGACAGTGGTCAATTATTTAACAGCTGTTCCTGGAATGCTGGGATGTTCATCCGAGGCATGTATACTACCACAATGACTAGGTTTGGTTCTCGACCTTTACTGCTAAAACTTCCACTAGCGTCATTTGAGGCATTAAGCAGTTCTGTGGCAAACAAGTAGACTCTGCAAAGTACAGGCCAACCCCCCTCATTTGCCTGTTCACTCTGTCACATCTGAATAGTTTGAACCTGGATCCATATTATCGTTGTCCAACGATCCTTTATGTGTCTCAGTGAAAGCCGCGAACATTGCCTTTGCCTCTGCAACAGTCCACGGATGAAAGGTATTTTTTGTTATAGCTGGCTTTAGACCCTGTATATTGAAAAGAAGAATGATTACGGACTGGTGCTTGTTGGTACTGGGTGATTTTTTTCCGGCATTATATCTGGGTTTTTATCTATGGATTGGAGTGGAGGCCATCGCTGGGGTTCCACTCCAGAATGACTGTATTTGGAGTACGATTTCTGCATTCCTGCAGTTTTTTTTCCTCCTGGCACTAAAAAACCTCTCCCTCTTGATGGCTGTGCTACCCAGGTTTTCCCCATGGCCTGGATTTTTTGGTATCTTTTTGTCCCCTATAGAAGGTATCCTGGCAATTTAAGTTATAGCACAGTCTTTCCTGTACTGAAGAGGTACACATTTCAGGGTAAAAACTTACAGGAAGGAGTTTGCATTTTCCTGTTTGTCATATGGGCATGACATTTTCTAGGGTTGGTCAAGTTGCGCTGTCCCAATCTGTTTTTCCAGATTTCCCCATGCCAGCAGAGACCAAGTGCATAGTATGTGCACAGCTTGGATCCCTTTGCCTTGGGTTTCTGTGACTGTATTCCCTGTTGGTGCATGTTTTCCCTTTCTTATTCCTAATCCTCCTTAGGCACCAACAATGGAGCTCCCACCAGTTGTTTTTGGTAATTTATCTCTCACTATTGCTATTGGAGTCCTCTTGTTTGCTATTTCCTGCGGAATTTCTGTTTGCAATATTGGTTTTATCTTGACTACACTTGTTTCCCTACTATGGCCACCCTGTCCGCTATGAGGTCATTTAAAGGTATTCCTTCCTTGCGTAACAATTCCCGACTACCTGTACAAAATCTCCAGCTTCACCATTACTGTCTCCCAGACAATATCTCCAACTTCACCATTTCCTGTCTCCCAGGACAGCACCTCCAGCTTCACCATTACTGTCTTCCAGGAACAGCACTATCATCCCCACAATTTACTGACTACCAGGACATCACCTCCAAGCCTTACATTTGTGACTACTTGGCCAGTACAAGGGCAGTACCATTCAGCCCGGTACTTTTTATGTTACCCATCTGTTGTATGAAAGCTTCCAGTTTTCTATGAAAGCAGCTTTGATGTTATCCTCTTTTTAATACCCTTGTGATTTAGTCCCACAGATTTTCCTCATTTGGCCTACCCAAAAACACTTCTCTGTTTTAATACTGCATGTACTAGTTCTGTGATATCTGCACAAGGAGGTGACACCAATTTCCACAAAAATGAAATTTTATCCATGTGGTAGCCCTTTTGTTTGACTGACCACAGGACTACACACAGCTTCATAATTGATTTAATGGGTGATTTACTGCAAGTCTACTAGCAACCCTCTTGAAAATAAATTAATAACCTTAAATGACGCTCTAGCTATTTGTATTTCTTTTCTAACTCTTTTTGTATATTGGACAGCTTACCGTCACGTTCCTCGGTCAGATTTGACCAAAAGCTCCTGACCCGCGTCTGGAAACTGCCCTGTGTCCTGACAAACCTGTTTCTGTCCAGTACAAAGATGGGTCATACAGTAAATAACAGTATCAGTGTATTCAAAATTTAGTAATGTTGGGTAAAGCATTTACGTTCGTCTGGGTAAAAAAAAAAATGGATACGTGAGTGATTTTTGGGAGTAACCTTGCTATGTGTACCAAGAGAAAGGTTCCTTGATGCCGGCGAGGGGCTCTTGATCCAAGGAATTAGACCTGACCTCTTCCTTGGATCACATCCGATTAACTCCCATTGCATCACTGTGATCCCTACGGGTTTAGCTCTCGACCGACCATGAATGTAATAATAATAATAATGGAGGATGAGCAAGGTAATATATTAATGGCAGGATTCATGGAAATCCAAGTTTATGCGGAGCTAGGATAAAAGCGCTTACTCTACCTCTTATATACAATGAAAGCACCCTCCCCCCCCCCCCACAGTCCTTATACAGACGGGACGTCATGAACTACTACCAGAAGTAATCATCCTCGTCTTGTATTTGCTCCACCAGAGGCTCCCGTTCCAGGAGCTCTAATCCAATAACAGTATACTGGGATGCTCGATACATCTTTCCTAGAATTGTGTTTAGGTGAAAATGAATAAAAATTTTATGACGCGTGGGAGGAGCAGGAGGCTACATGAAAAGGAAAAGAATGAATATATTCAAAAAAGGTTGAGCATAAAAAATGAAAATGCGACAGCGTAGTAAATAAAGATCTGAGGGTTGACCTGATGTGAAGTTTCTCGTCGCAGTGTCAATATTTAAAAAAAAATATTTTCTTATAAACATGCATGAATAATGGTCATAACGCTCGTAAGAGTGAAATATATTATAACAGTATTGTCAGTGATGTAATTGGCCAGCCCCTACTTGAACTTTTCATGTGAATTTTCGTTAGTAACGCTAGTGGATGTTTCATTTCTGCCCTGATATTAGTCCTCTCGAAAACTCCCACTGAATTTAAGAAAATTCTAAATTTGCCACACGCAGTTATTATATTATTCCACTGTACACAAGCTCAATTTAAGAAAATTCTAAATTTGCCACACGCAGTTATTATATTATTCCACTGTACACAAGCTCAATTTAAGGAAATTCAAAATTTTTCCACACCAACTTTCAGATCTGACTCTTGTGAAATTGACTTAATGCATCAATTTTGAATTATCTTTTCCGCACATGAGCTTACTCCTTACATTTTAACTTTTTTTGTAAAAATAATAATTTAATTCTGAAAGCATTCAGGGAAACCAGCGCTCCGGAATTTCCTGTGGGAGGAAAATACAGTTCCTGCACTCTGAAGGCCGGGAGGGAAATTGATGTTTTAGTTAGGAAGGTCATTTGCATTGTGATGTCCGCACAGTTCTGTCTAAACAGCTATTGAATAAATAATGATGAATATGTACGCCTTTCTGAAGTCACCATTCCTTGGTGGGGGACGCCCAATGTGGTTATAACTATAATAATATATGGTGACTTTTCTTTCTTGTATTCTTATTTCCCAAAGTATTGACATATTTCTTCATTATTCCCACTTATAATTTTTCATATTTATTTTTTGTATTTCTTTAACAATTTCCTAAGAAGTTTAAAGTCATTTCAACCACAAGGAAAATGCCAAGAAAATGAAAGAAATTTGTCGGGAAACCTTATTTTTCAGAGCCTCTTAGTTCTTTTCCTCTTATTTCCAATTTTACAGAATCCTTTGTTGCTTTTGCAATGATTTATTTATTCTGCGATGTTGTATGGTGTTGTTAAGCAGAAGCTGGACACACTGCCCTAGCAGGTGAGACTTAAAAACCGATAGTTTATGCAAATTATAATTTTAGTCCATTAACACAGTGGGAGATTTATTGCGTGCTATATTACAAGTCTGGTAATGGGTATATGGTCCATAGCCCTTAAGTGTTTAGAGTTTCACAATAAACGTAATGTGTGTAATTATTTACAGTATAATAATTAATGTAATAAATATTTTACATGCGCGTTTAAAACTGTCAGGTGCTGTGTGCTAATTTGCATAAGATTGATGTACATTATACAGTTTTTAATGACTGACACATATAGATGTAATTATCTCGTGTAAAAGAGTTGATGTCATTTTGGCTGTTCGGTCGTCTGATTCGGGTGATGCCATAGGGTGAGGACATCATTGTGCTCCACTGATTATCTTGAAGGGGGGCCTTGATGCCGGTGAAGGGCTCTTGATACATGGATTAGGTTTTCTGGATATCTCTAGATAATGTCAGGTCGTGGTGTGGTCGTCAGGAGCCATGACGAGGTCTAAGGCTTCTTTCCCGGGGGAAGAGGAACACCGTACTGGACTTCGGCTTTTGGTTCCTCAATGTTACCTCGATGGCACGAGACTCTTCATAGGCCGCTGATCTCTTCCGATAGGCTTCTCTGAAAGAGTAGGAGGGGATAATTTTAGGTCAGGTATACTTAAATAAAATCATCATACCCTAGTAACATGCATAAATTGACCCTAGGATAACCCCAAACGTCAAGTGCTATTTCCATTGGGTTCTTGTAATAATCTTAATTAAAGCCTAGCAGTAGAATAAGTCATACTTACAAGCTAAAAAAAGCAAACAAAATTGTGTGAAAATCAGTTTACAATAAAAGAAGATAAATAGGGTTAAAGTAGTTACTATTATTTACTCGATTACAAGAGAGTTACAGCTTATCTACAAATAATGTTAGAAATACTCTCGAGCCTAGGACCCTGAGCTACATGTTGACGGTCAGCAGTACATGACCTACCAATTTCATATAGAGGTGTTCCATTTCCCAGACTAATTTTGCTGTATAGCTACCCACCTTCACACCCCGATATGGGCAATACAACATTGGTCAACTCTGCTCGGTAATAAACTTCTATTCTATTAAACCGAGGATAGGTTACTGGCCGTCTTCTTGTCATCAGTGCCGAGGTTTGGAGACTACTCTCTCCCGCCTTCACATTGGCCACACTCGTCTTTACTCATGGTATCTCATTAAGAGCACCCAGTTCCTCTCTGTGAGAATGTCCCAGGTGGTTAGTTCCAAGTATCGATTAGCCACATTCTGTAGAACTGCCCTCTATCAACGAGCACGCAGAAAATACCTCCAACGTCCGTCTCCGCACTCCTACTCTCTTTACCTTCCCTTCCTTGCTGATGGACCCTCCTTTTAATCCTGACTCTCTCATTGACTTCTGACAAGCGACTTTACGATCACAAACTCGGATGAACCTTTCACACACCCCTCACCCTTTCTACATGAATCTCTTGCTGCCTTCTACCCTTTCACCATCCACTGCCCCGCTGTTCTTCGTAACCTATTACTCGTCCATCTCCTTTTTGCCACCTGATACCCTCGCTTCCTTCCTGCCCTGCAGTGCTGTATAGCCCTTGTGGTTTAGCGCTTTTGATTAAAATATACTTCAGGGCATGGGGCGAGGAAGGATGTCTTGCTGCTGGCGAGGGGCTCTTGATCCAGGGAATTAAAGCTACCTCCACTCCTTCCCCCCTCCTCGGATATGACACCTGTGTGTCTCCCATTACCTTATGTGCTGCATGACCCCTACGAGTTGAGCGCTTCCCCATAAATATTGAAGGGGAAACTGCAATATGAATTAAGGAAGATAATCCAGGATAACAGAGAACCTAGGATAACACAGAAGACCTATGATAACTTAAGATGATCTGCCATAGCAGGATAACAGACAACTCAGGATATCCTCACCTGTATTCATGACACTGCAGCCTGCGGCGGTGTTCGTCAGCCAGCTGGACGAGCTGCAGTCTTTGCTGTTCCTGCTGGTCCAGTGCCGCAGCCGCAGCCTCCACGCGTGCCGCATGCTGCCGCAGAGACGTGTTATATACGTGCATATTAAACTCATTCAGTATGGAAGGATGCCTTGATAATTGTACAAGACTCATGATTCACGGAGGTGACTTGGTAAAGCTATACACAGTGAAACGTGCTTAAGAAAGCTTGTTGGTAAAGCTATACACAGTGAAACGTGCTTAAGAAAGCTTATTCTGCAGCTTGTCTTCACACACACCTGTTCATCCATGTGTTTACACACACCAGTTCGGCTTTGGAATCTTGATCACCTTGAGTATACGACGGTAATCTAGTCTCGATAATCAACTTACTGGTCATCGGGCCGTCGGAACGCGCAATTACGTCTTAACAGCTTATTAAACGGTTTCGTTAATGGCCGAGGTAAATTTGATGATCGTTTAGCCTCCTTGTAGTTGTTAAATACCTCTACTAAAGTTACTGATTAGACATCGTCTCCTTTAAAAAAAAAGCCTAGCCCCAGTTCCCCGCGGAGTCTATCCCTACTGAACTTTGCAGCCTTTATCTGCACTGTCCCTTCAAGGGCTCGTCAGCTAAGAAATTAGAGCTATCGTCCCAATCTTTGGATCAGATTTAATTAACCTCGTATGCTTCAGGCGCTGTTACTTCCGGGTTAATTGCTTCTCCATGAATTAAATTAATACTGTAGTTAATGATATGATATTTCTCCCGTTGTTCTCTCTCCACTCCTTCTCCACAAACAGTCCATCCTCCCTTAGAGCCCTAACCACAATTCTAGTACAGGCTATAGCCCATCCACGGGGGGGGAAAACTACAGTCCATCTCAACACCAAGGAGTATGGCAAGGCTATTACCTCAAATACACCCCTCACTCTGCCTTTTCACACCCCTTCCTTTCCAGCACCCTTTCCTTCATTCACTATGTATACGTCATCCCTCTGTCCCTGCCATAATTTTCCCTCTCAGATCGCCAGTTCCCCTCATCCTTGACTACCGTCGATTACGTCTTTAGTGAGGGGAAACAACAGAAAAACAACAGCTCTTACATAGTCCAGTTTTGATATACTCCACATAGTAATAAATTATAACCTGAATAGGCTTTGAATTACCTAGGCAAAAAACCATCATAACTTTTCTCATTACCACTACTGTCATTCTCCGTCATACTCGGCACATTTTCCCAATTTATTTTTTCAAAAGCTACCTTGTATCTCAATGGTAAGGCGTTGTCGGCACTACCCAAACGGCGCAAACATAAACACATATACCCAAACGACCTGATTCTACCCTAACGAGCGAAAACATAAGGGTACCTGCTACCCGTTCACCTAACTATATACATAGTCGCTTGTTGTTTAATCATATCCATGTGAATAACCTGAGGACCTCAAAAAAAAAGTAACTTTACTGCCTGGCTTTCTTGAGAATCTGGGTTAGTAACCGTCTGGGGGAGATTGATAGATCTAATAATTTCTTTAGTATAAACTCGAAATATAATAAGTTTAAATATAACAGGCTCCTAGCATCATTATCACACCAAGAATATTCGAATTCTTACACTTAGTGTACGATGCTCTTTGGATTATGTATTATTAAAATCAAGGGGAAAGCGCTAAACCCGAGGATTAATACAGCTCCTGGGGTGGGGAATGTGGAAGGCTTTCGGCTTAATTCGGGGAACTGGAGCACAGATCCAATTCCCTAAATCAAGAGTCCCTCAACCAACATCAAGGAACCGTTCCTTGAGCGAACATAGTATATCACGAATTCACAAATTAATACACAAAAATTAGAAATGAAAACTGACAATTATCAAGACGTTTCGGTCCATTCTGGATCTTAATCTCGTCGCGATTGAAAAATTAAAAAATTTGTTTTTTTTTTGTTGACATAGTCCCGTTTCAGATAGTTTTCCCAATTAAGTGTCATAAAACATTAACAATCAACCCTCAATTTTAAAATGGGGTTTCAGAGTCCTCTTAGACGAAATGGAGCTACCAAGGCGATATTGCAGTAGCATCTGTCGTTCACTCCTCCCCCAGCTCAACGACAAAGATAGAAGGATTTTCCAGGCTCTGAATAACGTGCTAGAATTCGTGTTGTAAAGAGGCCAGTCGCCAATTTTTTAAAAGAATACTTTTGGACTGTCATTCATTGTTGAGTGTGGATGTACAACCACAAGCACCGTGCTCTGTCGTCCCTGAAGGGACGGACATGAACAAGTTGCTAGTGGCCTGGAAAGACCACAGCCACTGCTGTGTCCCTTCACGGGAAGTGCTAGTCCCCTGGACTGACCACAGTGTGTCCCTGTCGCCTTGAGAGGAAAGGTGTTTTAATGTGGGTAAAGTGTTACTGATTCAAGGAATTTGAGCCCTCTTTAACTGGATCAAAATCTCATTCCGTCCATATTCCCTATGCGCTGTTTAACCTCTACTGGTGTTATTAGCTCTGAAACCGCAAGGGTCATACAGGTCCTGGAAGACGAGGGTAATCCTGTGAGTTAGTGAAGTTTTAAGAGCCTTGGTAAGAGGAAACAACGTACGGGGAAAGACGACGCAAATCACTAAAATGAAATTGATGATGAGGAATAATTTTGTAAGGGTAAAACAGTGGAACAAACGTCCCTTCAACTCTCCAAACAGCCATTTAACAAATCAACTTGCCCTAAATGACCACTTTCCACCCTTCACTTAGCCTTATCTCCCCTCGTCGGTCCTCCATTCCCACTTGTTCTCACCTACTCTCTTCCCCTGCCTCAACACTCTCCATATTTTCTCTCAGGAGCTTAACAGTGCATTTTAAACTACAGAAGTTTCCTAATAAGCGGATGTAAACGATCGCTTATATAAGTTTTTTCGTCATGAATGCCTCTAATTGGAAGGAAGACCAAGGACCGCAATCATTGACCAGTTGAGCAGTAATATACGTCCGTTGGACGCCATGATCAATGAAGCATTACCACTGACTTGTGTACCGCTTCATCAGTGACCAGTAAACTGTGCGTGGACTTTATTACTTCCTTTAACCGTCTTTAAATCAGTGATCTTTGACCTGAGACCGTATAGCACTGACTAATGAAGACCCACATTCTGGACTAGAGAATACATAAAATTCAAGGAAAAAACTGAAGGTTTTAGACCGAATTTGATATACTAGTAAACAATCACTGTGAAAGTAATTAGTTAAATCCAAGCGGTTTCCATGATTACTCACATAGTTTCCTTGATAATTGAGAATCACGAAAGCGCGCTTGATATTTCACTATTTTATTCACAGTGGTTCTCTGCATATTGATATCACATGTTTACAGAGATTCTTACTGTATATATATATATATTATATATATGATATATTAATATATATATATAATATATTATATATATATATATATATATATATAAAATGTATGTATATAGTAAGTAATATATGTAATATATATATAAGGCTAAAGAGGTCTATGTGGCATTTATGGATTTGAAAAGGCGTATGACAGGGTGATAGGGGGCAGTGTGGAAGAGATGCAGGTGTATGGTGGTAGGAGGTAGGTTACAGAAAGCCTTGAAGAGTTTTTACGAGATAGTGAGGCTCAAGTTAGAGTATGTAGGAAAAAAGAAAGGGAAATTATTTCCCGTAAAAGTAGGCCTTAGACAAGATGTGTGATGCCACCGTGGATGTTTAAGATATTTTATAGGATGGGGTTGTTTGAAGAAATAAATAGCTAGGGTCTTGGCAAGAGTCGTGGAGTTAAAAGATAAAGACTCACACATAAAGTGGGAGTTGTCCACAGTTGCTCTTGCGGATGACACTGTGCTCTTGGGAGATTTCTGAAGAGAAAGTTGCAGAGAGGTGGATGAATTTTGGTAGGGTGTGTCAAAGAAAAAATTAAAAGTGAATACAGGAACATAAGAGTAAGGTTATGAGGAAAAAAAGTTAGGTGATGAAAGTGGATATCAGATTGGAGGGAGAGAGTATGGGGGTGGGAGGGGTGGGGTGAAATGTACAGTATTTGGGAGTGGACTGTCAGCGGATAGTCTATGAAAGATGAGTGAATCATAGAATGAAGAGGGGAAAAGGTGAGTGGTGACTTAGGAGTCTGGGAGACAAAGAACTTTGTCCTTGGAGGCAAAGAGGGGAATGTATGAGAGTATAGTTTTTACCAACACTCTTTATGGGTGTGAAGCATGGGTGATGAATGGTTGCAGCAGGAGAAGGCCTGAGGCAGTGGAGATGTCATTCTGAGGGCAAAAATGTGTGGGTGTAGAATATAATGCAGAGAATTCGTAAGTTTTGGAAGTTGAGGAGGTGCGGGATTACCAAAACTGTGTCCAGAGGGCTGAGGAAGGGTTGTTGAGGTGGTTCGTACATGTAGAGAATGGTAGCGAAACAGTTACTTCAAGAGTGTATCAGTCTGTATGGACGGAAGGCGGGTAGGGGTCAGCCTAGGAAAAGGTTGGAAGGAGGGGTAAAGGAGGTTAGTTTGCGATGGGCTTGACATCGCATGCAGCCATGCGTGAGCGTGTTTGGTAGGAAGTGAATGGAGACAAATGGTTTTTAATACTTGACGTGCTTTGGAGTGTGAGCAAAGTAACATTTATGAAGGAGGTTCAGGAAACCGGCAGGGCCGACTGAAGTACCTGGAGAGGGTAAGACAGTCCTGCACTCTGAAGGAGGAGTGTTTAATGTTTTGCAGTTAAAAACAGTAGTGTAAAGCACCCTCTTGGCAAGACTGATGGAGTAATGCTGGTTAAAGTATTTCTTTTTCGGGCCACCCTGCCTTGTGGGAATCGGCCAGTGTGATAATAATAAATAAATAAATAAATAAATAAATAAATATATATATATATATATATATATATATATATATATATATAAATATATATATATATATATAAAAATATATAGATATAACGTTTCCCTCAAAGAAATTAAGATAGGTTTAAGACTGACCTGTTGCTCGTGCAGGAGACGAGCCCTCGTCCTCCAGCACCTGCTGCTGCCTCTCGGCTTCCTCCTGCAGCAAACACCCGCAGTC